GGCTGGGTTCGTGCTTGCCCTGCCCAGCGCATCCCGGGGGATCGTCTGCGCGTCTGGCAGGGCGTCTCCGGGACGAGAGGTCTCTGCGTTTACAAAGGGCCGCGGCTTCGCGTCGGTGTCTGCCGTGCCACAAAGGAAAAACAAATCCCCGCAGACCCGGGTGGGTTTGGGCTGGACGCCTGTGACCTCGCGGAGGGGACCGGGCGGCGCCGAGCCCAGCCGCGGCAGCGGGTGAAGAGTTTGCAGGGACGAAGGCGACCCTTGGCCTCTCAATGGTGCCACGCACTCACCGTGGCTCATGGCTCACCCCCGGAGCGGTGTCTAACTGCATTCCCGCCGCAGGCACCGCATGCCCCGCTGACGGGGCCTCTCTTAGGCATCCTACGCTCCCATCGTACCTATTAGTCGGTGACAAAGTCATTCAACCTCTACCAAAGTAAGCGGCGAGGCCACAAGCTGCGGCGTGGGGATGAGGGCAGTCGGGGCAGCGCCAGCAAGGCTGCGGCAAGGAGGCACCCACCCTGCCTCTGGCTGGCCTCGGGGCACACGCCAAGCACCCACACTGCTGCCGCTGCGCTCTGCCCCGCCATCATCATCATCTGCCCCCAGGCATGGGTGCAGCAGGGCTGGGAACTGGTGATAGCACAGAGAAAAACCTCCACTGGCACGGTGAGCACTGAGGTGTCAGGAAATACCAGTGACATGAGTGCTCCTGCGGCTGTAACTCGGCCCCTTCGTGTCTGTGGGACGTGAATTGCCTGCTGGTTTTTCCACCAAAGAACGTTTCATTTATTCTGTGCAGATATTCTGGATATTGCCTTCGTTCCTGGGGTGCTATAAAGTGGCAGGTGCTGAGCGCCCCTCACTGCACTTGGAGCGACGCTCTGACTGTGCAAAGCATCGTAAAAATGACAAATGTTTCAAAACTCCCAGCCCAGGTGCCTCAAATCCCAGAATATGGGGGTGTTCTTGTAGGTGTTTACCCTGGTCTCACTTCACCTCCCTTTGTCAGGAGAAAATGAGGCAATATCAGTCTCCCACCTACCACACAGGCCTTGGGGGAGGTGAGTCCAGTAATACCCGCAAAGTACTTGGTGTGTGGGGCATCTGTGGAAGATCCATGGCTTTGCAGGCAGCTCGGGACCGGAGAGATGAGTCCTGAACAACTAGAAAGGAAATCCCAAACCACTTGCCATTTCTTGAAGGAGGCAGGGATCCTGCAGAAACCCAGACGTGACCACAGGCTGTTGGGGCTCCGGAAGCTGGTGAGGCTGAGTCCTTCACAGGGTTTTGCAACTTCAACACTCTTTCAGTGTTGGGTGTTTGGTGTTTTTGTTTTTTTTTTTCCTCCAAATGTATTTACATAATTAGCATGAAAATAGGACATGGAAAAATACAGCCCTTTCTCCTAAAACCTGACATTGTCAGCTTGCCTGCAACTGGTGGGCAGGGTGCCACCGCCCGGAGAGACATCTCCCCACCGCAGTGCTCAGCCGCCAAGGTCGATCTCAATCCCACCATCTCTTTGTGCTTCCCTCAAAACCGGTCTTGTTTTCTGTCCTTCTCAAAAACGATGTTGGTGTTGGGTAAGGATGCAGTGGTGAGAGCGGAGCCTTGTCCTTCCCTCTCACCGTCGGGGCCGTGCGCAGGGTTTGGGGCCCCCAAGGCGGGCAGCCAGGCAGCCATGTCCTCCCGGCTGGCAGCGCCCTGGCCTGTAGCAGCAAGGGGAAAGTCAAAGCTGCATTGCAAGCAGCCACAATTTCAAATAAACGAGGTCTTGGTGTTAACACCTATGATTTATGTGCATTTTCAAAGCTCCACGTGAACGTCTTTTTAGTCCTTAAAACGTCGCTTTGAAGTATGTGCTGTTCGTTATCTCCCTTCTGTGGGGTAGTGAAGCTGACAGGTTTTGAATGAGATTTTAAATATCTTATTTCAGCATGCGCCGCAAAATCCTTTGTCATGTCTGACAGCGGAGCCATTCAAACCAGACAGCCATGCTTATTTGTTTATTTACATGTGACGAGTCCCTTTGCCCTTACACCTGTACCCCAAAAGCAGATTATAAAAACAACCGGGTAAAGGATGGTGATTTTGGCAATGCTAGAATGCGACCTGCAGAAGTGCTGCTTGCAGAGCAAGTCAGGCACCATGGCCCTGGCCATCACACCAATGCCAGGGGCCAAGGAATGGCAACGCGGATGCGAGGCAGATGCAGTGCCTGAGACACTCTTCTGCCTCCCTGCAAGTCAAAAGCAGAAGCACTCGCTGCTCGTTTGAAGGGACGGGTAGATGGCCAGCAGTGATGTACTTTGTCTCAGCTTTTCCAAAATACTGTATAAATCACGCGCATGGTTTTGCTTCCGACTTGTTCCAGATACCTGTGAACATCCATGCCCCGAAGGATGGCCACATAAGGGGAGCAGCTGTCTTCTTGGGAGAGGAAGAGAGGGGAGGTCAAGAAGCTGTCTGCTGTGGAAAGGACAGCTTACAGAAGGGAAACTGCACCAGGGGGAAGGTATTTCCCCCTACCCTGTGAGGATGTACTTCCATTTGCATCTCCCTCCAGGACACAACAGATCTGGTGCCTTTCCATTGCCAGGTCCAGGCCATGGTGAGGTCAGGGAAATGTTGTGAGACCATTTCAGAGAGATGCCCCTAGCCGGTAACTATTGCCTCCTGGAAACAGCATTTCACTTTGAAGAATGTATGAAGTGTTAGTAAGCGGGAGCATGTGGACTGCTGCAGCCATGCTGATTGAATCAGAAATATAAGTATCGGCATTTTACAGGTGACTTCTGGTTTTATGCAAGGTTCTCCACCATCCCAGAAATTACCCAGAAAAGGTCAAAGGTGAATGACAGCATGAGGGTTGGGTGGATAAACCAATTTTCTGCCATTTGCATGGATTGGAGGAGGTGTGGAGGAGAAAGTTTTTAAAGTATCAAATACCTGGGCTCCCAGGAGTTACCTTTACAAAAGCCTTTGCGTCTGAGATGCCTTGTGATGAGCATGGTCTAAAAGGCTGGAAACTTGGCAGCCCTGTGCTCAAGTGAGGAAGGGAAGAGCATCCTGTAGGTGTTTACTATTCCCCTACTCTTCAGGACACAGTGACATTAAATGACGTGGGGAAAAGGGACGCAGGGGACAGGGAGCGAGAAGGTGGTGGAGAAGCAGAAGGGTTTCTGAAATGTGTCAGACAAAGGCAACTTACCCGCAGCTGTGGTGTCTTCCCAAAACACTGAACCACTGTTCTCTACAGTGGGTTAGAAATCTGACAAATCTAGTGCATGGACTGGCCACCTTTGAGAATTTTTTTTTTCTTTTTTCTCATGAAGTGCCCTCATTGGTCTGCTTTTGGTGAACTGCCAAGCAACCCGCATTAATTCGCCTGACCAGCTGTAAGAACCCGATGGCTCTCCTGCAGCCCTCATTACACACTCCTCCTGCTGATCTAAATACAGAAAGGTCAGGAGGGTGAGCTCCAGTAAATTATTAGAGATACACCCTTAATTGCTGCTGCGTTGGCTTGTTCTCTTGAATCTCTACACTGTCTCCACAGTTTGGTGTCCTAAGGAAAGACTTATTCCTTTGCTCCAGAAGAGAAAAAGATCAAGAAATCCTAGGGGGGAAAAAAAAAAAAATGGGCGAGGGGGACTGATCCCTTCATAGATCTTCTTTACACCATGGACCTTGAAAAAGAACCTATTTCTTACTGTTATCAGTGCCAGCTCATTTGCAGCATGCATTTCATATGTCCAAAGCCTTGACTATTGTGCTTGATTGAGAGACATACTGAAACAGCTGTCCCTGCAAAAGCCTAATTTATGCAGGACTTTCAATGGTGCTTGCACCATCACAACTCTACACACACCTTCACCAAGCCTCTAGCAGCATTAAAAATCATTCTGCAGCACATTAGCAGGGGC